TATTTACATATCTTATTTAGGATTCTTAAATATTTTTTTTTATCATTTTAATCTTTAAAAAAATATATCTCACAAATCTTAAATTTATTTCTATAAATTAAGCTTTACACATAAAATTAAATAAAAAATTTTAAATAAAATTTATATTATTTGTAAATTAGAATTAGACAACAAGAATATTACAAAACAAACTTAATTAAAATTATTTTTTAAAAAGGTACATGAAAACATAATTATTATAGAAATTTAAATATTACAACAACACTAATAATCTAGTAAATAAGTCCCGGAAGCTCCAAAATCTTCAAATCCAAACAAGTTTTTCGTAATCAAAGATGCTTGTTCTTGACTTTCTTGACATCTTTTTCGTATAATTTTTTTTTGTTCAGAACGAACGTACTCACGAGTATTAATATCACCGATTAGCAATATTTTTTTTTTCTCTTTTAATTTTTTAAAGCTAACTTTTTTATTTCAATTTTCATTCGTAATTCAATCATATCATGGAATAATGTGGTATTTTGCTTGTAGTTTAATATTTAATTATGTATAACTATTTCTAGTTTTATATTTAATGTAAAATTTTATTAATTAATATTGATGTAATATTTTTATATATGTGTTAGTTATTTATAAAACTTTTATGAATTTTCATTAATTGTGACAAATATAAGGACTATAATGTAATATACAAATAATTTTGAGTTAGTTTTGAAGTTTTTCTTTTGGAGAAGATCACTTTAAAATAGAGTTCCTTTTTGGAGATGCTCTTATGTCTCATTTGTTATTTCAATGTTTTATTTTGTTGTTGCTAACCCCACGACATTTACTTTAAATTTTCCTTAAATCTCTTGATGTCGTGGGGAATTCAGTATTAAAATGTGTTCATTGTTCATTCTCAAAAGAGTTCTTTAACTGTGAAGTGTAAACATTTCACTCTTTCTCTATTCAATGACTTTATTTATGCTTTTCTTTCATGTTTATCTAAAATTTCTAGTTATAAATTTGTATTTCTATTTTTAATCATATAGGTTTTTTAATACTCCATCCGTTTCTTTTTATAAGATGTTTTAGTTGAATGTATGGAGATTAAGATATTTACCTTTTTTTAAATTAAAGTACTTTTAATAATATATATAAATTTTCTTTTAGAAGATGTTTTAGTTGATACACGGAGATTAAGATATTTACCTTTTTTAAAAGTACTTCGGATACAAGTTTTAATAACATCACATAGTCATGATTCGTGCTCTTTTAGCTGTTCACAACATGTAGTAGACATCATCATTCTCTTAGCGATACTGTCGAAACAAACCTGAAGCGCATTTGTAGCACATGATTCTCCATTCCTCTCTGAACGACTTCTCTTAACAGCGTTAGCTTTTGTCGGACGAGGGAATGATGCCAAAAGTACGAGGAATGCGATAAGCAACAACGCCACGATGAAAACAACACAAATATCGATTCACCATCTCTCTCTCTCTCTCTCTCTCTCTACGAAAAATAAAACAGAAACCACGGTAGGCTCCGGTGTCCGGTGAGCTCACTGCCGGTGCCAGAGGCAGCTTTTCTTTCCCTTCCTTTCTTTCTTTTTGTTTGCGTCTCTTCTCTCTGCTCACCATACCGACATGTCTGCTTCTCTGGAGGTCCCTTCGTAGATCTTGGTTCCGCTGCAGAGGTGACAGGGCTCCGGCGAGTCCATTCTGGAGATGTAACGAGGTATGGCTTCGAGCTGTAAAGTTAAAGGTGTCGGCTTTTATGGTTTCAGAGGTTGGTTTTCTCAGATCTGGTTTTTCGTTTGGACCCCTTCCTCTGAGTAGCAACACAAGGTAGGGGAGTAGATACTTGATATTGATTTTGTGTGTGAGCGTGGGTCTTGTTCACATCTGGTTCTCTGCGGAGGATTTGCTCCTCAGCGGCTAAGGTTGAGTTAATGGTGACCGGTAGATGCTGTTGTGGTTCAAGGTGTCTTGGGTTCGGCAGTCTTCATGGTCTCTATTTCTGCTAGCCACGGAGCGTCTGTCTACCTCGTGGGTGCATGCGGAGGTTGGGTTTGCTGCTGTGTTGTAGCGCCTGTCTCCGAGTAAGACGTGCGGAGTTCTGAGAGCTATGGATTCTTAGTCGTCTATGGCTGTGCGTGTGTGAATTTTTCGGGCTCCCTTTCAGCTTCTTTCCCCTACTGGGCTTCGGTTGGTCAGTCCCTTGCAGCAAAGGTGTGTTGTCTGTAAGGGTGAGTCTGGTTACTAGATTGGCTTATGTATGTGTATGTCACCAGAGACAATTCTTTCAGTCACAAAGTGGTCCATCTATTAGTTCTCAATAGAAAGAAATGGCGTTGTTTACCCTCGGGTCGAGGTGGTCTACGACTCTTAGTGTTCGGCGGTGACTCCATTTGGAGAGTTGCATATCCCATTATTGGCAATAAGTCACTTGATCTATGTTGGTAGTGCGTCTCTTCTTTGTGCGGTTTTAGGGTTCTTTGATCGTTGATGCGGTTGCTGCTCAAACCTGATTTTGTGTTTCCTTCTTGGCATAAGTGGTGATCGTGTATAATAGCTGTTCGGGATTACCTTCAGGTAAGAGCATCTTTGGAACCTTTCATCACTTTCGCTTGCGCTCCACGGATGGTGATGATTACAAGAGTAGACAAGCTCGTCGGAAGCAAGCTACTTCGGAGACGACATGGGAAGACCCCTGCATCCGAGGAAACGAGGTGAATCTCTCCTTCCTATGGTCATCGTTAATGGTAGAGAACGACAAACGATTCTCGAAGATTATGAATCCGATCACGCGTCAGGGATATGGGTCGAACGAAGCTAGTTAGGAGTATTTTGATTCGAGTTGTTTTCTGTGAGTCAATGCTTGTAATCAAAACCTTATTCCCATTCTCGGGTTGATATATATATATATATATATTAAAAAAGGGTTTTTAGTGATTTAAACCTCCAACTATTTTTAAATCGGATAAAAAACCTCCAACTAAAATTTTATGTTTTTAAACCTCCAACTATTAAACCGTTAATGTCGTTAACCTTCCGTTATCAAAATCATTTTTTCTTAACGAAACTCCGTTAAATCGAAACACCGCATTTCATGTAATTTCAAAAATGGCAAGAGATTCTTATCATCAATATATATTTTAGTGATTTAAACCTCCAACTATTTTTAAATCGGATAGAAAACCCCTAACAAAAGTTTTTATATTTTTAAACCCTCAACTATTAAACCTTAATATTTTAACCCTCTGTAAACAAAGTCATATTTTCTGAACGGGAAACCGTTAAATTGAAACACAGAGTTTCATGTAATCATATAAACGACATGAAATGTTTAAACCCCCTATATCAATGAGCAATAATAATCACAATTCATCCTCAAATAAAAAAATGAATAGGAGAGAAAGAATTAGGGTTGATTGCATACTGTTAAGGTAGATGGGCTTCCAACCTAAAACCAGTTGGTGATAAGTGGAGTGGCCCATCTGTCTTATATACTAGATAGAATCCCTTGCAACTTCCGATGTGGGACCTTTGTCCCTAATACGCCCCTGAAGATGATGGCTCTTTAGCGTCAATCTCAGAATGTTCAGGCAAAGATCGATGGGCCGAATTTGCGCTGGATCGATAAGGATCGGGTTGGACTTTGTGGATCATGGGCTCTGATACCATGTTAAGGTAGATGGGCTTCCAATCTAAAATCGATTGGTAATAAGTGGAGTGGCCCATCTATCTTATATATTCCTTAGAATCCCTTCCAACAACCGATGTGGGACCTTTGTCCCTAATACGCCCCCCGAGATGATGGCTCTTTGAGCGTCAATCTCGGAATGTTTAGGCAATTATCGATGGGCCATTAAGGTAAAATAGTGTAAAATAAATAGGTAAAAGACAGAAGAAAATAAAAGTGGAAAACAATACAAAAGCCACCGCAACACATACTTCTCTGCATAAACCAAGAGAGAAAAATGAAAAAATTTTACTATTTTTCAATAGTAACTAGCGAAAAGGCAAGTCGAACTTTTTTACACTTAAAATATATCGTCAGAAGTGCCATACAATCATAGCCTAAAATTTAGAAACAATAGAATTTTTTGACTTACCTCACCATCGATTAAGAGGAAAAAGAACTTTAATTTTTTTATTTAAGAATGAATTGTGATTGTCATTGCCCATTGATATAGGGGGTTTAAACATTTCATGTCGTTTATATGATTACATGAAACTCTGTGTTTCAATTTAACGGTTTCTCATTCAGAAAATGTGACTTTGTTTACAAAGGGTTAAAAGCAATAAAGATTTAATAGTTGAGGGTTTAAAAATATAAAATTTTATGTTAGGGGTTTTCTATCCGATTTAAAAATAGTTGGAGGTTTAAATAACTAAAATATTGATAGTAAGAACCTTATGTAGTTTTGAAATTACATGAAACGTTGTGTTTCGATTTAACAGCTCTCCGTTAAGAAAAAATGATTTTGATAATGAAAGGTTAACGGCATTAACGGTTTAATAGTTGGAGGTTTAAAAACATAAAATTTTAGTTGGAGGTTTTAATTACTAAAAACCAAAAAAAAAAAACAACAACAACGCCACGATCTTCATGTGTATATACTTGTGTTGTTTATATCTCTTGATAGCAATTTATTTGGATTCTTTTTGTTTTCTGTGTAAAAAATGTGAAGATCTGTTTAGGTATTTATTGGAAATCAAGTATTCACGTTGTATGTGGTATTGCGTAATAGACGCGATTCGCCTTCTTTATCAACACGTACGTAATTAGCTTTGTAAATATATATAAACTACATGCAAGGCTCAACTACTTTTACATAATAGGTAAAGAAATGTAAAGAAATACTATTTAAATTTTCGAATTGGTTAATCCAAAATTAATGGTTTACAAATTATATTAATTTATTCTAATCAATAAGAAATTGTACAAAAACTGAAGAAAAAAAAAAAGAAAGATACGTTGGTATGGTGTGTCGATATTCTTGTATACTATGTTCAACATTTGGGGTTAGGAATACCACAAGACTTGAGACTAGCGCTAAGGACGGTGGTATCGACCATACGGGCTTTAATTACATCACATAGACATGTCTGATGCTCTTTCAGACTCCCACAACATGTCTTCACTGGCGCTCCACGAGCAATGCCATCAAAGCAAGCCTTAACCGCATTTGTAACACACGGTTTCCCATTGCTGGGAGGAGGGAATGATCCCAAGACTATGATTAATGTGATAAGCAACAATGCTACCATCTTCATGTTTAGTTCTTCGTTTATATTGTTTCTATTTCTGTTGTTGTTTAAGAACTTGTTTAGGTATTTATTGAACAAATCATTAATTCACATCGTACGATATTGCGTAATAAACGCTTTTTATCTTTACTAATTAACATGAACGAATTAGCATTATGCAAATATAGCCTTAAGGTAAAAACTAAAGGCAACTGATTTGGTTGGTGTAGAAATTATGGAAATACAATTTCTACAAATTTTGTGAATTGCAAGAAAAACAAAGGAAACAAATAGGAGGTACAAGTAATATCAAAGAGCTTTTGAAACAAAGAGATCACACAATAACATAGGAATCTAACTTAATATAATGGAAGATCCCATGTAAATCGTCTCTCTCTCTCTCCCTCTCTTAAAACCGATTCTTGATGGATAAAAAGCACAAGCTTTAACCCCATTGCATATTTCTGAGTTCAGCTTCTTGCAGTAGACTCGTACTTGGCTCTATCGGTTTTATACATGTGAGCAATCTCTGGAACCAAAGGATCATCTGGGTTTGGATCCGTTAACAAAGAACATATCGAAAGCAAAACCTAGAAACACACAATGCATTGGAAAAATATTAAATTTGTACTCTACTCCATGATAACTAGAAAGCTGCAACGACCCAATTTAGTATCAGTATGAATATTATTGTACTCTACACCATGGTGACTAGAAAGCTGCAACGACCCAATTTAGTATCAGTATGAATATTATTGTGCTCACTAGTGAACATTATACATATATATTTCAGTTCAAACAAAAAACATTATACATATATATTCATTAGGTATTTTTCTGCACCATGCGTAGCAGATATTTTTTAAGTTTAAATTATATTTAATAAAAAAATTCTTAATATTATAGAATTTATTATTTTCTTACCAATATTTAAATATAGATTTGATTTAATTAAACATTAAATTAAGATAAAATAATTTTTTTTATCTAAAATTATATTTAAGAATATCTAATTATATAAAGTAAACTTTGATTACTTCTTGCAAGGCCACATCAGAAAATAGTGAAGAGGAAAGACGACATGTGTTTCATTAAACAGAATTATGTTTTCTTTTGGTTTTCGTATGGGCTTATATGATTGTATTGTTGGTGAGCTTTGAATAATTGGTTTTGGCCTGAGAAAGAAACTAAAGCTTCGCCCGTTGTTTGCCTGCACCTACGACGAGAAGCTTTCTAGGGTTCATTCTCCTCTCTAAAATCTGTTTACGTCTACAAACAATGGAGGTTAGATGATCAATGCATCGATCTCATTAGTGTCGTTTGGTGATCGCTTCTTCCCTTCTCCGAACCGTTACAAGTTGCATTTATTCACCGCCATTAACTATCAATCATTTAATGATCCTTATCTCTTTTCTTAACCTAAACAGGCTATATAAGTCCCTACTTCTGGAATGCATCGATATCAATCTCAGAAGTGTGATGTGAAGTATCCTGTGATTTCGTAGATGCTATGTTTGTACTAATGACATTATCATATTTGGATTTGTAGATGGGTTATAGAAGCATGGTGTCTTCTGGACAGAAATCATTGAAGTCTTGAAAGGCAGCATGCTTTATCTTCCCATTATTGGAAAAGCTGTGGTCAGTGTTTGTTTTGGCTGTCGCACAAAACAGAAAAAAAAAGTGTTTGTTTTGGCTTACTTTATATCATTTGAGTTAGTTTTCTTAATGCTTTTTCTGACTTTTTTTTGTGTTGATATCTAGATCTGAAGCATATTGTTCATTCAGCTGTTGATGTCGTGCACTGATATCGAAGGTACATTTCTTTTCTCCGGAATTATAACGAGTTTATGAGGCTTGAGATCGTGCGGAATGCTGGTGTTGTGCTGCTTGAAAGAGAAATCCCAGACTCCATCAACATTCAAGTTGCTAAAGTTCGTATCAGGTTTTAATTTTAAATTTATTCAATTACAATCTTGAAGCTATATAAAGGAATCTTTAGGTTTAGATAAAGCAATGGTGTCGTTGAAAACTTGTAGCATTTGGAACTGGAATGTAGGTTGATCTTATCCTCCCTAATTACCCACTTTTAACATCCCTAATTGATCATATACTATTTGAAGAATTATGATGAGATTGCCAATGTAATATTATGTTGAGTAGAATTTTCTAAGTAACTTAGGTTGGTGGTGAATGTGTTGCACCCTGTGAAGAGAGTAGCTATTGGATTCAGCCTACGTCTTACAGCTCGAAAGAAACTGAGCTCAGGTGCTTGACCGGAATGCATACCGAAACTTTTGAACAGATTAGCAGGCTGTTGCAAAGTGCCATTAGTTAGTATTTGCACATTACCAGTACTTAAACTCCCAGATTTGGTTACTGGCTTAGTGGGTTTTAGGTCTGCAACGAATTGTAATTACTGCTGTGTATATTATTAACCAAAACACTTTTTTTCTTCATCACTCAACCTCTGTTGAGCATCTCTCGGCTGAAATATTTCCTGCGGAGCTCCTCTGTCCATCACGCCCCTCAACATCTTCAGTCACCGAGCTCTATAAACTACATTCCACTGCTCCTCCGCTTCTTCTCTAACCGCAAACCATTACACAAGAGCTGTGAGACTTTTGGCCAGATCTACTCAGTACATGTACGTCTGCAGAACATTGATCAGATCTCCTTTTCTGCTTCCACTATAAGAAAACAGGTGTTTAACGACTACGCTATTGGTTGTTAATTGGTCGTAATATGCCTTTTACGACCAATTAACAACGAAAACCAATTGGTCGTTATTCGCTAGTTGTAATGCACAATTAGTGGTAACGTAGTTGTAATATACGACCACGACATGTAGTCGTAACCTAGTCGTAATATTACGACTAACATATTGGTCGTAACGTTGAGGTGAAATAATTAGTCGAAACGTAGTCGTAATATAATTAGTCGTAAAGCACATTGGTAGTTAATTAGTTGTAATGGTACAACTAAGTAACATCGACAGTAGTTGTCCATTGATCGTAAATTAAAGACTAATTTACGACCAATCTTGATTTTATTTTTATATAATATGATTTTTTTTAAGTTTGCTTTTTTCTTTAATTTTTGGTTTTTAATTCGTTTTATTTTTTAAATTAATAAATTTTTAAAAATATATACAAAATGATATTTGATTAAAATAATATATAAAGTATTCATACAAAAAAAACCGAAAAAACTATGAAGGTGTGTTGTTGAGGTTCATTTCCTGGAAGAACTCGGAACTGTGCTGCTCCGCACGTCGCTCTAAATCAACTTGCTCTTTCGGTGTGGGTTCGAAGTTAAAGCTCGGACGTAGAGCTTGCCATGCATTAGCAACCGTCGGGTTTGGGTTCGAGTTCTCCATCATAAGATCGAACATAATCGCCATAGCCTTGAACTTGTGTTTATGCTCAACTATGACTCTGTTGGCAGCTGCTAATTCCCGTCGGAGAGAGGAATCTTCTTCTATTCTCGCTGCGTGTTCGGCCCTCGCCCTCGGGACATCGTTCACAGTCCCGATCCCAACGATACGTCCTATTTTCTTCGGAACAACCTACAAAATATCAAATATTATTTACTAATCAATTTTATTTATATAATTAAGTACAAATTTGTAAATTTAATAAAAAATTAAAAACGTTAATAAAGTTAAAAATTAAAATAATTTACCTGCTCAAAATTTTTGTCTTGGTCGATGGTGGAAAGCTGGACCGGTGGAGCATCCGGATTATGTTGCGACATCTGAGTCTGGATCTCTTCAATCCGAGCCTCTACCTTGTTGTAGATCTTCTCTGCTTGAGGATGCACAAAAGTCACATCGGAACGCTGGTGGGTAATCTTGTATAGTCGGGCGAGAGATGGTGGGGATCCTTCTTTGGCAGCCTATATAAAAAAAAGTAATTAAAATTTTGCGTTAAAAATAATAATAAAATCAAGAAAGGTCAACACTTACAATTTAAAGTGCCCTCCCAGCATGTGGGGTCTACCCGGAAGTATGAGGTACCGGCGGGTTACCTTGAGCATCCTTGGTTATCCGGACCACAGAGTACTTGGTAGGCTTCTGCATTGACTCATGCTTCATCCAAAAAGCCACCAAACCCTTCCAAACGTCATTGCTCAGGTAGGTTGGTTTTGCGTCATCCCGTTTTAGCCTTCGATTGTCCTTCCAATCCCCAACGATGTTCTTGAGGCGCTGCATCGCCTTTTTGTAGAACCCAGTTTTGACCTCCTCGTTGACACCAATCGACCAATTCCATTTTTGCTACAAAAAAATTATGAATAAAAAACATTAGTTATAATTTAACATACTAAAATTAATTTTTTTTAAAAAAAAACTAATTACCGCGAAACACTTGAACCACATAATGCGAACGTGGTCCGGTGTAAGAGTCTAGTTCGGATGGGCATGCCGATAATTTTCCCGAATGATATCCCCAACGCTCTATCCTAAAACATTGTCCGTCAAAAACCTACAAAATTTGAAAGAATTTATATATTTATATCAATATATATTATGATTAAATAAATTTTTAAAATTTAAACTTTAATTAAATAATTTAGAATAATTACCAAAACGTGCCGGGGCGTTGATCCGGATCGACGATTCGTAAACCTTCTCGTCCCGGCATCCACAGAATATCTTCCACCGTATTTCTCGCATATGGTGCATTCGGCGGCACCATCAAATCTGGATGAAGACCGGGTGCAAGAGCCGGATCAGGTGTGGGATGCAGGGCCGCGACATGTGGGGGAAGCGGAGGGGGAGGTGGAGGGGGAGGGAAATACTGCGGATCCGGCACATAAGTAAATAAATTTGTATCCTCAACCTGCGGATAGTACGGAGGTTGATTCTGATGATCATTAGGGTTGTAGGCCTATGGAGGCACATACGACAGGTGAGTACTGGCCGGTTGGGTCTCTAGAACCGTGTCATGGTCGGATGACGTGCCGGCGGATGATGTGCCGGCCGAGGTAGAAACAGTGGGGTCGTTTGATGATTGACCGAGAAAAGT